ACTTCTGTGGAACAGCACCAATGTGTCCTGACATGATTCTCAGCAAGGATTTTCTGGTAATAAATTTTAAAAACCCAAGAATGTACTTGAAAATATCTCAGACTTCCAAAATCCATTTACTACTGAAAAGGCAAATGTGTTTAAGGCAGATGTTAGCATAGGCTGAGAGTCACATTTTCAGCTTGGTTGTCACATGACTAATTTATATACAGCCGAAGTGTTGAAACAAAGAAACAGAGGTGATTGCGTCAACTTTAAGTTTCATATAGAGTGAGAACTTTCTCCTTTATTTTACAGTGTGCCAAGCATATAAAAAAGATTTGGTTGTATAAAAATGACGTTTACTAAATTAGTTTAATTTTAATTCCTGATAGCTGAACTCACACATGAAGCAAATATTTTCCTTCTAGAATTGATGTTGCTGCTCTCCCTGGAGTTTCTTGATTGCTTTGAGGAAAGAAGTAATGTTTCAAGAACATATCACAGGGGTATTTGGAAATGTAAACTATGCTATTTAAATTTTATTGCTTCTCAAATGAGAGCTCCCAGGATCTTTCTCATATTAATCTGTCCTTGAGAAAAGTGCCTTACCTTTTTGAGCCACTAGGAAAACAAGCTGCCAATACAAATTATTCATAATCTCAGCTCTTTCCAAGGACAATAGGTCCTGTTACCAGAGGATGCTTTATTTAACTTAGCCGCATGTTGGGTTTGGGTTTGAAAAATTGGGAGTGGTAGAATGATAAGAGATGAAATGCTCTGTAGAGTAGAACGAAAAGGAATTTAAGGTTTCTATTGAGAAATCAAGGAAAGAGAGGGGAGTCGGAATTCTGAACACTGTAGGAGGTCTCCATGCAACTAAAGAGGGGTACTAGAGAAAAATGTTGAAAAGTAACTGTCCCATTCATTTCCTAACAGGTTGTGTGCTTTGGTTTTGAATAATAAAACGTAGTGTTCATTGTTTCGTGTATTCTGTAATTTAAAGAAAAACATTGTATATATTCTTTAACACTTAAGACATCTATTTTTTAAAGATTTTTTTTTGTCAAAATAAGGGTTCATAAACTTTCCCAAACATGGAAATGTCTTGTTCCTTCTAAGGAATGTCTTGTACCTCATAATAAGAATCATAATGATGAGTCTCCTTGTATTAACCTCTCAGAGAACGAGGCACATGGTGAACTCTACTGCCTCAATCAGCAGCTAGAATTTACCCTCAGCAAATAAAAAGGTTGAAAAAACTAAATTCCAGCTCACAGTATTAGAGTCAGTTACATTTTAAGTAGAAAAACATTTGGTTATATCATTGTCCTTATAGCATGATTCTGACTTATTTGCCTAAGCAAATATTTATGTTCTTGCTTATGTATTTTTGTAAAACAATATCTACAGGAAAAGTAGGCCTATCCTATAAACCCCCAGAAGGGAATGTTGATTCAGACACTTAACCTTTTAACCAGCTTTGTAGCTATACCTCAGTTTCTTATTGTGTCAAATTGGAATAATGCCTACCTCTACGATATTCACAGGAATATTATGAGGATAGAAGACAAAGATAACATTTGAAGTTCTATTGGTTCACTGAAGGAAAAGTTGCTAATTTATTTTTCTTTTATAGATTTTTATATTTTAATTACAAGGGTAATATTGCATAGAGAGTTATGCATTTTTTAAAAATGAAAATCTCATTTTACCTCCCGCTTACCCAATAAATTCTACTCTCTTCAAAAGCGATTATTCACACCCCTCTTCAAAAGCGATTGTTGTTTTCAATTATTAGAGATTTTTTTCTCTATCTTTCTGTTGTTAATTTCTAATTTTATGGCATTGGAGTAGAGTACACAGCCTGAACTATTTCTGTTTTTTGAAATATTTTGAGATTATGTATAGGGGAGGAACTCTATTAATTGTTGATATATTTGTTTTGAAGGTTCAAAAAAGATGTGTATTTTCTGTATGTGGGTTACAAAGATAGAAGTAAATAAAGAAATAGAAATAAACACGTATTACATCAAACTTGCCGATTGTTATTGAAATCTTACGTATTTACCCCTTTTCTGTGCCCTGATCTTTCACATTCTGAAAAAAGGTATATTAAATTTCCAATTGTGATTTTAGAAGTTACTCTCTCCTTGTATTTCTAACAAATTTTTTCTTCATGATTCCAAAAGCTATAATAATGTCTACAGCTTCACAGCTATTATATATTCTCAGAGAGATGTTCATATTTTAATATACAATAACCCTTTTGTTTGTCAAATTTGGGGCCTAAATTCTACTTTCTTATCTAGTGTTGCTACACGTACTTTAGTTTTGTTAATATTGCTTTGCATATGCTTTTTTTTTTCAGGCTTCCTGTGCCATTTTGTTTAGTGTTGTCTCTAACCCATGCCAAGGTATTTCTTATCCAATCAGAAAAATCTCCATTCATAGAGGAATTTACCCCATTAATAAACACCACATTAACAAATCTAATTAAATAATATTAAGAATTATCACCCATTTTTATTATAACACATTTCACAATTAATTCCATATTAGTCCTTACTCCTACTTCCTAGCTTGTGTTTTCTATGAAATACATTTTCTTGTTCTCTCTTTTGCTTTCCTTTCTTCTGTTGGACTTTTGGGTTATTAATGTTCTATTTTATTTCTTCTCCTCTATTTAGAAGTTATAGAATCTTTTTTTATTATTTAATGATTACTCTTACATGTGTAGGTCACAATTTCAACTTATATATTTCAAACACACGTAAAATGAATTAATGTCTGCATCCTCTTGCTGGACAAGGGGAAAAACCTTAGCATTCTCTAATTTTATTTGCCCCACCACATGATGTAATTATCTAATAATTTACTTAAAAATAAATATATTTTGTATTATGCATTGGCAATTATTTAGACAACTAAAAGTTTTACCAAATTTTACTCACTAGAAGTTTTTGTATTCCATACCTTCCTCTTTTTGCAAAACATCCTTCAGGGTCTGTAGGCTGCTTGAATAAGGCCTTATGCCTGAAAATGATTTAATTTTGCCCTCATATTTGGACTATAGTTAGGCTAAGCATAGACATCTGAATTAAAAATTATTTTCACTCAAAGAATATTATGCAGCTTCAGAAAGAAGGAAATCCTGTCACATGTGACATGGATAAACCTCAAGGACATTATGCTAACTGAAATAAGTCAGTCATGAAAGGGCAACCAACGTATGAGTCTACTCAGATGATGTACCTAAAGTAGTCAAAATTATAGAAACAGAAAGTAGAAAGGTGGTTGCCAAAGGCTGGGGGAGAGGGAGAGACAATTAGTGTTTAATGAGGATCGAGTTTCAGTTTTGCAAGATGAAAACATTCTAGAGACCTGTTGCACAACATCGTGAATATATCTAACACTACTGAATTGTACACATAAAAACAGTGAAAATGGTAAATTTAATATTATGTGTTTTTTACCACAACAAAATATATGTTCATTCAAAAATTTGAAAATATTGCTCAAGTTTTCTTCTTGCATTCAGGGTGGTTAATTAGAAAAGAAAGTCTGATGCTAATCTGTTTCTCATTCCTTAGCAGGTAATGGTTTTTTCCTTTCAAGAAGCTATTTGAATTTTTGCTTTGTCCTTGGCATTCCAATATTATCACACAGTGCCTAGGTAGTCGTCTTTTTTCATTTAGCATGTTCAGTACTTGCTAGGTCTTTTAATATGAGGAATCAGCTCTTAGTACTTGGAGATTGTCTTCTATTACTGATTTAAGTTATCAATCCCCTCCTTTCAGAAAATCTTGGGGCTCTCAATTCATCCTACCATGTTTCTCAACTTCTCTTTCAGATATCGTACCTTTCTAATTTTGTTCTGTATCATGGCCAATATTCTCACCTTTATTTTCCAGACCATTAATTTGTTCTTAATATATGCCCATTTTATGGTTCAGCCCATCTATTGGATTTTATTTTATAATGATACTTTTAATTTCTACATAGTGTTTTTTATTCTTAGATTGTTCTCTTTTTATATTACCCTATTCTTGATTTATGAATGCCTCTTGAATACCTCTAAGGATAAAAAATGATTTTTAAAATTCCTTCTTATGTTCTCCAACTTAGGTCTTTGTCTTTTAAAGCTCATGTCATTGGATTTTAGTACTCACTGCTCCTTCATTATTGTTGTAATTATTGTCCTCCCAATCACCCACTCATTTCTTATGGAGTTTAAACATGTGGTTCATTGTTACTCTATCCAATAGTCCTATTGCCTTAATTCTTGTCAATATCTATATCTACATGGATGAACTTCTCTCCTCCGTGACCTTACCTTCCACCTTACCTCAGCCATTAATGCTAATGGCCACCTTGCTAACAATTTCAACCCCTCCATGATCTTTACTTTATGTATCTTACTTCTTGACTACCATGTTGGGGGTACTCTCTCTAGTACTCCAACTCAAATAATGCCTTCACCCAACCTGGAATCCAATGCATTGTTTCTACGATCTTTTCTCTTTCCCTCAATCCTCAGACAGCTTATCTCCCTCCTGGATTATCTTAAATTTTATGGTTAATCATTTAATTCACTCTCTTGCACATGCCTTCAATTCCCCTGCCTCACTGTCACTTTGTTTTGGGTGTTTGACCAAATCACAAGCCTGGAAAAATCCAATTTTCTGCCTACTCCAAACCTAAACCTGGACGATTTAATATGGCTGAATGATCTCACTTTAAACTTAAATGGGTCCTTAATGGTGCCCGGCAAATGTACTATAGTTCCCTAGGCCATTTGTTCTCCTACACACAGATAACTATCACATTCCTTTCAAATATTTCAGCGCATCCACCCACATCCTCACTCTCAACTGATGACTTTGTTTACTTCACTAGGAAAACTGAAGCAATTATAAGAGAACTTGAATGCATTATCTTCCCATCTCCCACCAGATTTCCACCACCAGACCTCTCCAGTTACCAACATCTGTAGAGGATGCTCTGTGTTCCCACTTTCTATTATAGGTGAACTACCCATGCTCCTACTTAAAAGATGTCTCCTCTTGTGCAGCAGATCCAGTCTTTGAAGGACATAGCTCCAGAACTCTTCACTCTCTCTCTCCTATATTACCAGTTTTGTTTCCAGTATGTCTTTGTCAGCAGCAGACAAATATACATTTATATCTCCTATCTTTCATCACAAACAAGAAAACATACCTCTCTTCACAAATTTGTTGTGTAGCAATAGATAGCTAATACAGTGAGAATATGTTTTACATAAATAATCTCTTCAAATGTATTACAGAAAATATTAACCTTCATTATTTTAATAATTTTTATAGATTACTTGGGAAAAGAGAAAGAATGAAAGGAAATTTCAGACATGAAGCACATGCTTGCAAAAGACTTAAAAGTGGGAATAAGATGAACACAAAAGAGGACTTCAAACTCGCTGCTCCTGGAATAGTCAGATCAGCCAGCAGGTGGGTAGGAATCAAGGCAGTGAACTGGTCCATCTTTTGAGAAGCATCCTGTAAAGAGCATAAAAGCCTGAGCTTAAACTCTGAGACTCCATGCATGGTTAGATAGAAGCCTCTTTTCCAAATGAAAATTGACATGATCCAGAGGCCTGGCAGGCAAGGTAGCATCAAGTTCCAAGTGGAGATAGATTACTGAACTCAGAGCTAAGAAGCAAAGGAATAACTAAGGATACCATTACCAAAGCAGAAGCAGAGGGAGAAGTTTTAACCTATGCCAGAAAAGGGTAAAAAGGACACTCAGTACTTGCTACTGTAAGCATTTGAGATATATTTCATACAATTTCTTTATATTCGTTGTGTTAGCTTGTGTCCTAAGGTTTGGAAATGATTGGCTCAACCCACCTTTCCATTTCCTGAGGAATTTCCAACATTTTCTTCCAGAATTTCTGAGAATTTAGAGAAGGCTTCAGTTTGCAGACCCAGTTGAGGCTTTCAACTCCTTTCTCTGCTTGATTAATCCAACTTACCATCTTACTCTTCCACTTGTATGGCCTCTGTTTACATCAGATTGGCAAAGATAAGGAACTCGACCTCTTTTCTTGGTTTTCCCTCTCCTAACATACATTAAACATTTTATTCCCTTATATCAGGTTTTCAACTATGTTATATAGTATGTGTTACTGGAGTTTTGGGAGAAGTGGCAATAATTTCTACCACAAACAATGTAATATTTAACATTAGATATCCCTGTTCTTTTTAACAAGAAAAAAACTCCCTCAGCTAATTTTATTCACTAGGGCTCCAGGTTCTCATCATATTACCCAGCTTCTTTTTCTCTTCTCTCTTCCACCCCTTCTGTGTCCTCTTCTATTCCAAGCAATTTATCAAGATAGTTTCCCAAGCAAAGATTGATCTCTCCCTCGGAGGAATTTTGGTGCCAGCTGTTAAGATAATTGGTTTTTACCTTGCTGAAGTTGAGAAGCTGATTGATATAAGAAATCAATCACAGACTTGTGTTGAAGATTATTACACAATGCCTTGATATTAAAGGGGTGACATGAATCAGAGACAGAGCATTTTTATGGCCAGAATGAATGGATGGTGGTACTTTCTTTTCTTTCCTCATGCTCGATGAGCGTAAATAATCTCATTCCTATGTTTATATAAGTCAGCTCTGAAACAAAACTTGGTTCCGAGACAAGAGAAGAGCCAGTTAGACTCCAATTCTCTTTTTGATTGTGAAATAATGACATTTTTAGGCTATGACTTTTCAACATTGTTTTAGGAATCTTGAAGGACAAAGGACAATGTTTTATTAATCCTAATCCAGAAGGATAATGCATGATACTAAATAATGGTAATAAACTCAAAAGCACGTATATTAATATATTGCTGAACGCCCTTGAAAGTAACTAGGGTACCAGTTCTTTACTCTGAAATTTGGCAATAAGTTTTGCCTTTCCTGTATGAACTGTACATAAAGATAACTAAATAACCACATTTGATCAGCAAAAGATTCTTGTTTTCTTACTTTTAAAATAATTCCAACTAATAAATTTAAAATAAATGACAGAATTTTAAAAAATCATTATTCTGAAATTGCTAATAAGATAATTGAATTAGGCAGCAATCACCAATACATAAACTCCTTGGAAGAAAGTTTGATGGAGAACTTAAAAAGGAAGCTTTAGGATTTTTGCTATGGGAACCCTCTGATCAATATTGGTATTACTAAATGGCGGACAAATCGCCATTATGTGCCTTTGCCTTCTGAGTCGAAGCATAGAGGCCAGCATGTATACATGACAGGTATTTTCATGTTTGTGTTTGGGAAGGCATGAGTTACTTCAAACTCTGTACTTACCATAGTATTGTAACATCATACGCAAGCTGAATTAAGTTTATTTTACTTTTCAGATGAGTTCAAAATTATTATTTTCATTTAGAAAATATGTATTGAGTACCTTTTATGTTACAGACACTGTGCTGAAAGAGGTGACTAGGTAGGTCAATGTGCTTCCTAAATTTGGAGATAATTATCTTTCTGTAGGTTCATTATGCTTGACTATTTTTATGTTCTCCCAATGATGATTTGACATTTACTTATCACTTTACTCACAGGGAATTAAAATGTAATGTGTTTCAACTGTATTTTTCCTTAACTGAATAATACTGCTATATGATATGCTAACTACAGACTGTGTTAATTCACTAAACAAATTCTGTTATGTGGTAATTTGAACTCTCCTCACCACAACTTATTAAAAAGGCACCAACAGTTTCCCATTTAAAAAAAAAAAAGGTTTTGTGGATTCAAATGTGAGAGAATCCAAACTCCCTCCTGAAGGAATTTATAGTCACATGAATAAACAAACTTATCCAATCAACATTAGAGGAGATGAACACAAAAGTAGATGCTATACAAGTCACCACCTAATTCTCCAGGGGCTAACATGGCAGATTTCAGAGAGCAGTTGACACTGGAAACAAGATATAAATAATGAACATCTCCCCAACCTGACAATGGAGAAAACTGTCATTACATGGAGAATAGCAAGTACCCAAACCAACAGCAGTGAGGAAATGTGGCACATTCAGGAAATGTCCAGTGCTCTCTTTTGGCTAAAATACAGGATGTATAATGTGGTGAGAAGGTGGTGATAAGATGTGAAAAATTAAACTGGGGCTTGATTATAAAGTACTTTGTATGTTCTGTTACAGATTTTAAATTTTATATAGTAGACTTTAGATTGCCACTGCCCTTTTTAAAGTGAGAGTGACATTACATTTGCCTATGGCAAGATCACTCCAGAAATCTTAGGGAAGATGGGTTGAAGATGAGCCTGACTCGGGGCAAGGGTAGAGTTAAGTGACTGTTGAGACTGTGATAATGAGAGACCAGGGCAGCAAGAGTGGGGCCAAACAGGAAGCCATGAATGGGAGATTTAGAAGAGAGAGAAGCTAATGTCCACATCGTAAGCAGAGGAGATGGGGTGTGCCAATTCAATGCATATCAGCTAAAAGAATGTGTACAGAAATATCTCTCCCAGAGCTTCCTCATCTATTTAGTATGTTCCAATTAAGCAATAAGTATTCCTAAAACATTGTTGAAATGTCATAGCCCAAAAATGTCATTATTTCACAATAAAAAGGAGAGCTGGAGTCTAACTGGCTCCTCTCTGGTCTCAGAACCAAGTTTTGTTTTAGAGTTTATTTATATAAAAAACAGGAATGAAATTATTTACACTCATCTAGCATGAGGAAAGAAAAGAAAGAAACCCGACGACAAGAGGCGTGATGATATATGTTACTTGGGATGAGCCCTGCATTCTAATGACATCTTGTAACAGAGCTTTTTTATAGCAGCACACTTGTAGCAGCTGTTGAGTGGTTTTACTTACATCGCCTTTATCCTGTGCATTTAGATGTCATGTACCACCAAGTTTCCTATCTTTAGAATATTATTTGGGCCTGTAAGTTATACAATATTCTCAAGTACATATCTTCAACAACAAGTGCAAAGACTAAATGGATGGAAACTATTTCTTGCATCCAATGACTTAACTCAGTCTCCACCTGGTTCTTGAATTCCTATGCAGCATTTAAATCTGGATAATATAAAAAAACAATGCCTAGTTCTGACACATGTCCATGAGCATTGGAAACATGCAAGACAGTAAACATACCTGGATTTTCTACAGGCAGCTAGACTATACATATGGATATATTCCCCTACCAACTCTTCACCTATTCATATCCAAAAATTTTTTTTTCCGATTTATAAAAATGTCTCCTTAGCACATTTCTTTCCAGCCATACAGAAATAAGGGAGAGAGGTGATAAATCAGTAAGGAGAATGAGAATTTGACAGGGAAGATGAGCAGTGAAAGTGCTGAGGGAGGTGGAGACATAAGGGAAGAGACTATGTCTCTGCTCTTGAATACAAAAAAAAAAAAGGGGGGGCCAGGAGGCCGCTGCCCAGAGATTCAACATCTACAAAGAAAGAATTCCAAAGGAGAGATTTATCAATGAGTCATTGCACTGGAAAATCATTGCAGAAAGTCAGCCAGAAGAAATAAAATGGCTGTTACCTTAAAAGGAGACAAAATGAAATGAATTTCAAAGTACTTATTCTGTGTGGTAAAATTCCAGTACAGTTTGAAGGACAAAGACTTTGGAGCCACAGAGGCCTGTATTTCAAACTTCCACACTTCCACTTTCATCAGGAAGACTTTAAGCAAGTTATTTAAACTCTAAACCCTGGGTGCTTCATTTTTTACATAGAAATAAGAATGTCTAACTCAGGGCTATAGTGAGAATTAGGTTAGGTAATGTTTGAGAAGCATTTTATGTGCCTTTAGTGTAACTACTAAATGGTAGCTATTAATGTAACAGTCACTAATGGTAACTTGGTTGCCTTACTATACTCAAAGATGCAGGGCTATCTTTGCAGAAGCTGTTTTAGGACAGGCAACTAAATGGAAAAGGCCATAAATGTTTATGAGTGGATTCAATTATGAAAATAAAGAGAAAGATTATGCTTAAGAAAAATAAAGAAGTATGACATCTGGCTAGTAAAAGCAAAGCTGGATTGTTTTATGGTGATAAATGATCATTGTTCCTCTAAGACTATATTAAAAAGTCTTCTGGCCCAGTCATTCAGAACAATGTCAGATGTTGATATCAATGATTTCTTGATCGTGACCTGCTAGAGATTTCTGGTGAAGTTAAACTATCCAAGCCAGTTTCACTCACCGATATCTTTTTCCCTTGCGCAATAAATAGGTGAGGTGAATGAATCAATCAATCAATCAACCAATCAATTGATTAATCAGTTCCTAGATTAGAAACTCAAAGTACCATCCACCTTAATGCATGGAATAAAGTACAGTGTTGACTTCTATCAAAATCACTCTACAAAGAAAGTCACAGCTATTAGACATGGCATTCTTCAGCAAGCTAACCTGAATTAAATGAGTTCTATTTTATTTTGGACATTATTGAAATATGCCATAAGCACACACTGGAGAAATGTCCAAAAGCCAAATAAC